TAAAAAAAAAAAAAAAAAAGAAATCAAGTCCTAAACGTTCTTTTTCCCTTGAACTATAAAACCAATTTCTTTCCCATTTTGGGAGTAAACATGAAAGTTACCATGCCTAAAGGTGGAACACCTTTTTCACAAAACATTTCATCAGAGATGGAAAACTCAGTGGTAAAGTTAATAGAAAGAGTGATACGTAATGTTAAAAGCTGATGATGTGAAACAATGATCGAGGACAAATTAAGTTTAAACGACTGAAATTACTCTCTATGATGATCTTCAGGAACACTGACAACCCTTAGCAACTATGTGACAAGTTGGTTTGCAAATATTTTAATCAATTAAACTGAAAAATAATAACCCATATGTACCTGTGACGAAAAAAATGTCAGGAAAAAAAAGGAAGAGAAAGGGCAGAAAGGAAGAAGGGGATTTATCTTAAAATATTTAATTCAAATTAAAAAAAATATCCTGATCTCTAAAACAGTTTACATTCCAGAAAGGAAAAGTTGTTTAAATGCTGACATTACAATAGGCACAGAATCAGCTATTAGATCCTAAATAAAAAATATATTTCTATGCCACTCATCTACAAATTATGATTAAAAAGCAAACTTCAAAGACTACTGAATCCATTTTCTTATTTGCTACCTAATTCCACCAGAGCTAACTGAAGACACAATAACCACAGAGCTTACAGACAGCAGGAACAAGGTGATTTGTTTTTTGCTCACTTTTTTTACCCATTTCCAGACAGAAGAAATTAAATGAACTATATGCTTGTGTTTTCAAAACTAAAACAAGAAGCCTCCCAGTTTTTCCTTTAACTTTGAGTATAATTGATATGCATAATAAAAACATCTTTATTTTTTCATGTGTTTGGCCCAATAGCTTCAAGAACTCTGAAATAGTCTCCTTCAGGCTTCATACCTATATAATTTCTACAGCATCAAAAGAAATTTTCATTGAGGTAGGTACAGAAGATTTATCATCAGGGGGCATATATATGCCTATCAGGTATGCATGTGATTTTTTTAAAAACACTCTACAAATGTTTTTGAGTTACAAACCGTATGACATATTCTAGCTTATTATCCTATTTTGGGTATACTATTATTTAGAGCTCTTGTATTTGCACTTTTTCAAGAACCATGGTTAAGAATAAAAGGCAGAGGAAACTAATCACTTCCTGCCTCCAAATAACGTCATATCCACCTATGCTTAATTGATTTACAAGCTCAGATAAATGCTATTTTCAAGCAAGCTGTGAGTTATATCAAATGACTTTGAAAGAGAAACAATAAAGCCATGGCTTAACTTGTTAGCGGAGAAAGGCCATGCTTGAAACTCATATCAACTTTCCATTCTGCAAAGCAACTCATCCACATAAAAATAGTCAAAAAGGACTTCATTTAATTAGTGATATGTAGACTTTTGCATAGAAAAAAGGTTACAAAGTAATGCACGAAAGGCTAGGTACAGTAATTTTAAAACAAATATTTAAAAGTATAATTTTGCATAATGTTTAACATTCTCATGTTTATTGCTTTCTCCACACAGCAGAGAAATGAAGTGCATAATAATACATGCTGTGTTTTTATCTTTCAAACATAAAATCTCACGTGCTCAATTTCAATGTATTAAGAGATTATTTTGTCATTAAACAAAATAAAAAAAACAAAACCAAAACACCATTATGTAGCACTAGTCTAGGCATGGGCAAAAATAATTTCTGTACATCCCATCGCATACATTCATCTTGATTTGGGATCAAACACAATCGCGAGCTTGACAAAAAGCACTTAAAAATCAATGGCTTTTCTCTTCCCAATGCTCTCTCCTTGTCTCATCACCTCCAGAAATGCCGCTTTTCCCAAAAAGGTGACAAAAATAGACAGTACTCATTATCAGGACAAAATGAAGAAGATAAATATGTGAAACAGTCCAAATGAAACTGAATAAATTAATCTAAGCTTTTATAAACTGGAGTTTTCAAGTTGGCATGAATCAAACAGCCTCTGGTGGGCACACAGTAGGCAAGCGTTCCTAGGTGCACTCTCTCAATGTATGGTTAATTTGAAGAAGCACCATCTTTTGAGCCATGGGAAAAAAAAGTGCCTGGGGGTCTGTTTGCAGGCAGGGCAGAAACACTTGTTAATCTGAGCACTGATGGAATAATTGCTTATACCAATGCATTGCTGAATGTCATCACTTGGCAAGTCTGTACAGAGAAAGCAAACGAAGATAAAACTAGACCTTTCAACTTGAAAATTATTTTCAGCAATCCTTTTGGCCAATAAAAACCTGTTGGTTTCAACAGAGTACTCTTGTCTGGCATTGTATGCCTGCAGCCTAACACAGGAAGTCTGTCCCCTTTCTTTCTTAACCTAATCTCTCCACTCTTCTTTACTTGTGCAATGTTCTATGTTCAGAAAAAAAAAATTATTAGCTCAGGCACTTAATAAAAACGAATATTTTTTTTCCATCTAGTTTCAAGAGAATTCAGTCAGGGCATTTTTCTTCTCCCCTTCAGAGATACTGATGCACTGCTCGGATGGTACAGTCTATATATTTTCCAGGAAAATTTAAATTGAAACAAGTGTGCCATTTTCAAAAGTTGCTGATGTCAGTTACCAAGCTGCCTTAAACAAAAAAACAAAAAAAAAAGGGGGAAAAAAAAAGATAATACCACATTTCCACTTGTGAGGTTTGTGTCTCAAATAGCTTTATTGTTCCTTTGTGGATCTGTAGGCATCTGCATGGCTACCTCTGGGTGCAGAGGTTTGTAGCTGACTCTGAAATGAAGGACATTCAGTTACTATTGCAAGAAGTTCACTGAAAACTTAAAAAGCGCCCACTTCTGTCCCCCAGGGTCGGTAAGGTTTACTGTTTGTTCCACTGCTTGTCTGCTGGGGGCTGGATGTGGTTGACACGGACAGAGGCGGGCTGATGGCTGTGGCCGCGGCCACTGCTGCAGCTGCGTTTGGGGGCAGCATGGGGAACGCCCCAGCGAAGGACAGCGGGAAGCTGTGCGCTGCTGCAGTGGCTGCTGCAGCCGCAGCATGGACAGTGGCTGACAGGGACAAGAGAGAAGTGGAGAGGGGTGGCACGCATGGGGCGACACTGCCTGTAGACGGCATCCGAAGGGCAGAATCTGCGTGGGCAAATGTGGCGGTGAGGAGGGCGGAGCCGTGGGCAGGAGGCACTTCCGAAGTTGTGGAGAGGCGGCAAGGCGTAGACTCCGAGGCGTGGAGTCCGTTGGGCTGGAGCAGGGCTGCAGGGAGATGGTGGAAGGCCGCCGCCCAGTGGTGAGGATGTAGGGGGTGGTGGTGGTGGGCCAGGGAGGACGTCATCGCCGCCGCCTCCCGCTGTGAGGCACACGTGCTGAGATGAGAAACCAGTCGCACCCGCAGGGGATCCGAGGAGTCCAGGCCTTCCACGGAGCTCAGGTACCTCGCCACTTCCGTTAAGCACTCTCGGAACCCAATGCTCATGAAGTCCATGGCAAGAGCGTGCGCGTCAAAGTAGCCTAAACGCCGGTTTGAGCAGAGTGGGGTGGGGGCCGGGAGAGAGAGCGAGAGGGAAAAGGATCCAATTACTAGGAGTAACCACCAACTATGTTCCAGTCTGTCCTTCAGAAGATTTAGGTAGAATGATGATCCTATCTGCAAACGTTGCCAGATATTTATGGTTTGTGAATGTTCACATAAGTTAAGAAAGTGTACTTGACAATTTGCATGTGTGACAAGTTTGGCAACACTGTATACTAAGTTGTTCTTGCAACCAGATATCACAGTGGGGGGGTAGGAGTGGGGGTTGGAATTAAGATCATCCATGTTTCAAACATTTCCAGGAATAAAAAAAAATGGTGTCTCTCTTTTTGTATTGTGGCATAGTGCAATTCCCTAGTCTACTTTTTCATGGTAATAGAGTTCCAGTCTCTCTGTCTCTGTCACATGAGTTGGAGATTAAAGGGTTTATCTGAAACACCCTCACTGTCTTGGCATTTCATTTATAACAGAGATTTGAAATGTACCTTAACAACCGCCTTAGCACTTTCGGAAAACAGACTTTTCTTGAACCATCACTTATCATATCTTAAATTTAAAAATGCCTCTTGACTCATCGTGAGTTTCTTTTTTACCAACAAAGTGAAAACATCATGTCGTTCCTTTGTATGAAAAAAATTTAATAAAAGTTAAAATGATTTAAAAATTTTTTTTGGTTACTAATTTGAAGATCTTATTTTATATCAGGCAATATAAGGCTGCTTTACTGATATAAGATTACTATAACTGCTACTTTTCTTGAAGATTAAAATATATATTTCCTTCATTGGTTAGCTTACTTTTTCCTGGCAGCCACCCAAGAAAAACAATGTGTGTTAGTTGTGTCTGTGTGTATACATTCATCCCCACACCTAAGGTTACTGCCATAAAGATGGCTGGAGCTGGGTCACATTTATGGAATCACTTTTTATTCAAAGATAATACATTAGAATAGAAAAAACAGTAATGTCTGATTATTATCAGTGTCAATTTAAGAGTATAATAATAATCAGACATATGAGGAAATGTCACTACTTTGAATGAGTGACCTCTAAATGTACAAATATATCCTTTTCAGATTCTTTCTCATTGTAACATTTTTTTTTAGTTAATTTTCAAATTATAAGTTTAGTCTACTTACTTTTGGGATGTCTGTATACATAAATGAGAAATATCACATGCAAACAAGGTTATTTTCATCTAAGGCATTTACTACATTATTTTTCTTATGATTTTGCAGATCAAAGTATTACCTGTTTAATTTATTAATAATTAAACTATCTTATTCTGTAATCAAAGCACTTTGGAAAATAGTAGTCACAATATTCAAAATCCTAAAGCTAGAACTCCAACAGAAATTTGAAGGTCAAAAGACATTTGGGGCAAAAATGTACACCATTAAAAAGTAACAACAACAGCACAGAGGTGATATAAGAGAATATCATGAGGGGTGACTGGTTAGCTCAGCTGGTTAGAGCATTGTGCTGATAACACCAAGGTTACCGGTTTGATCCCCGCATGGGCCATTGTGAGCAGTGCCCTCCTTAAAAGAGTCTCAACTATGTCATTGTAGCATGAGAGCAATGAGTAACTAATGACCATGTCTGTTCCCCAATAAAATTAAAAGAAACAAACAAACAAAAAACTATAGTGAGAATATCATGAAATGTGGATGAACAGCAAGAAAAATAGTTATCCCAAAACTTCGGCAAAGTTAGCAACAATGCCCCTGGGATTAGGAGGAAAAGCCCTTGCTAAAGAAGCCGCCTCCACAGAAAGATTTCACATGAGAGTCCTCAGGGTTCTCTGTGGGAGTTTGCAGACTTACTTCTGACTTCCATGCGAGCAGAGAGGAGATCATCATCAGAGTAGACAGAGTTCAGAAACCCAGAGGGATTTAGAAATTTAAGTTGTTCTACTAAATGCTCCTAGACACTATTGCAATATCAAGATAAGACTGTAAAGAATTGAACCAACAGAACTGGAACCCTAGGAGCTTCCAAGAATCTTCATAAGCAGGCATGAAATAATTGCAATGTGTGGTTTGCCAGCTATAGGTTGTTGCATATGGCTGAGTTTTCTATTGCACCGTAAGGAATGTAAATTATGTAATTCCTATCCTATTGGTGAATACAGAGGAAAATGATGATGAGCAGTTGTCTCCTGTGAAAGGATCTTGGGCCAAAAATAATAGCACATGGGTCCATACCACATAGTCTGTGCCACCACTGCGCTATGGCTTTAAGTGAATAAACTCACAGCCACCTTGTGAGGTGGACACTAGCACTGTCTTCATTTTACAGATGAAGAAATTGGAGCTCAGCGAGGGTTGGTCATGTACCCAGAGTCAAAGAGCTAATACATGGCAGAGCCAGATTTGAAAGCAGGCACCCCAACTGCGGAGTCCATGCTCTTCGCCACTCCACGACGAGGCCCACATAGCAGTCGTGAGTCTCAGGTGGTGCGAGCCCACACTGCCAGCCCCCGGGCTGCGAGGCCTACACATTCTCCTGCATGATGACCTGCTGAATGACCTGGCAGTCAGGCCACTTGTATGGCGCTTGCTTTGGAAATGTCTGTTCATAAACTATTCTGGGATGAATTTTAGGACTGTTCAGGTAGCCAAGAATAACAACTGAGTTTTTATAATAAGGCATAAGAAAAATATTCCTCTTTAGAAGCATAACTCATGCCAAATATTTGAAGCCCGGATAAGAATTCTTAGCCTTGTGGCTAACAACGCCAAGGGAGGCAGAGCAATCAAGCCAGTCTTCTTGCACCGTCCCTAACTCAGTGGCTCTCCAAATATCCTGAAGCAGCAGGTGTAGAGACAGAATCGTGGGGCACTCACTGCACTAGCATAGGCCTCGCAGTGCCGCAGTGCACTTCCGCCTCAGGTCAGAGATGAGGCGGTGGCCCAGAAGGGCTGGCTCCTTGGCTTGTAAGATTTCACCCAGTTCTCTTCTCCATTGTATAACAATGTCTGCATCCTATACTTAGGGTTACGTTTAGTGAGTAGAAATCACAATTCCACGCCCACTAAATTCAGGAAGGTTCTTTGGGAAGGTGCAACCGAGAGTAAGTCATACCATGTGAGCTTCCCTGTACAGTGATTATCCCCGATCTGACACAGGGGAAAGATCAGGGCTGTGTTCCACAGGTCCTCAATAGTATGGCCATAGTGGAGTTAAATACTGAAATATTTCCATACCACTTGGTAACCAGCTACTTCCCTCCAATGTCCTCCCTCTTCTTGCCCTGATCTAGCACAAACTGACAATATGTAGTAAAAGGCTGGTGCAGAGCAGAGAAGCCTCCAGGTTAGGTGAAGCAGCACTTAGCCCCTTGTGTACCCTGTCTTCACCCAGCTGTCAAATATATTAATTAACATCTTTGGCTAAGATGACTAGCAAAGGCTTGCTTGAAGGGTGAAAAAGATACCAAAGAGTGAAATCCAGTCTGAGTGATGTATAAGAAGCAGAACGATGAAATCTGAATGAATTTACAGCTTTAAGGTTTGCAAGCCTATTTTTAGCATAGGTGAGGGTCCAACCCTGACCCCCTGAACAACTTTTCCCTAAATCACTACCCAGTACAGAGGACATCTCTCCAGGGCCCTGGGCTCTGGGCACCTGCTCCTGTTTGCTCTCCACAGGAATGACTATGCACATTAACGGTTTCCAGCAAGGGTTCACTACCTGCACTTCCAATGCTCTGTCTGATCTAAATCTAAGACTAACCGATATCTGAAAACAACAATGAAAGTAATTTTAGAGTCACTTCTTTTCGAATAGCTGCATTACACTGAGTCCTAGCTCTGGTTTAATGAGGGGTTGGGGGGAAGGGACAGAAGAAAAAAAGAAAGAGATTGCCTCTAACCTCCTGTTTATGTTTGGGTGTTTGTGTGTTTGTTTTGTCTTTCTGTGCAGATTCCAGCATGCACTTCTGAAGTCCCAAACAAATCTGACCAGGCTGCTGTGAATGAAGCTTTACTCCCACAGTATTATGAAAGCAAACACAAGCCTGGGGTCAAGTGCTTCTTTTGTTCCTGACGTTCTTTCCCACGAGTTCAATCCTGCCATTAGCATTGATTTCCACGGCTTTAATCTGGGACCTCCTATCTCAGCTTGTTAAAGAACTGTTCAGCTATGACTTCCTTACAATCTTAGGAAGAAAAAGATGACAAAAGAAAGGTATACAGGGGGGAAATGAAGTCACCTCCTTACCTTTACCCCCGGTTGCCTGAAGCATCTTCAAATGATCTACTGTCATTTGCAATATTTCGGCTTTTTCTAACTTTGCAGATCCCTGCACAAACAAATGATAAAATCTTATAAGTCCTATGGAAACTAATTTGGAACATTTTACACTGGATTTTCAAATTTCCCTCTCACTAAAAAATTTTAAGCTTAATTTTTCTGGCAGAAAAATCTGAATTTTTTTCAAACTTTACAAGAAAACACTAATTACTATGTGACACCTAATGACAGGTATTTCCTATTTTAACTATTAAAGACCAAAAGGCAGAATAATTTTTTAATCATAAGAATAACTATACTCCCAAGATCACTCTACCAAAATTACTACATTTGTGAAAATCTCAAACTTTACATCCAATCAGTATCCTGGTTAATAATATGCTTTATTTTATTATCCAATTATATAGGACATCCAATAGTCCTATATAATGCTGAAGTCTAGACCAGGTGAATAAAACTCAGGATAAGGAGATAGGATCTTAGCAAACTATTGTTGAAAGTAGATTTTTTTAAATAGATAATTCTAACAAGTTTTTAAGGAAATTCATATTAGACCACTGGTAAGCAGAACTAAAACTGCAAAAGGGGATTTTAGTGGTTTTGTTTTTCCCCAATAATCACCAGCAGGTGTCACTGTGAATCCCAAGATCATAAACAAGAAAGCGCAATTTACTTATCTAGTAAGCATCAGAAATACTTAAGGATATTTGGGTCCTTTAAAATAGTTCTTAATAAAACTGTCTTGAAAAAATATTTTTATGCCCCCCCCACCCTTTTAAAACAAGGCAACCTCTGGGAAACACAACTGAAATAAAAATGTGCCACCTCAAACTGTCTCAGAGTGCTGTGGGTGGCTTCAATTTCCTGGAAGAGCTAAATAATTAAATCAATATGTTTTTCTGCAAAGGAAACTGAAGTTATTTCAGGTTCCTCTGCTTTACTTGTTTTGTGAAAATTATCAGCACCCAGTACATGGTGAGAATGCCGGCTATTTAAGCTGTTTGAAAGAACACCCCTCTAATCATATTGTGACAGGGCCAGCTCACTAAGGGTTGGTAGCCAAGCTTGGCAAACGGAAAAGTCTGTGTTTATGGTAACTGCCAAACAACTGAAGTTTGCTTTTAAGGTTTGTTTTAAGTCTACATTTAAGAAAAGAAAAAAAATCTAACATACCAAGAAAAATAAATTACCAAACTGATTGTTCCTCATAACTGTAGACATTTCAGTACTCAAAGCAAAAACATCACTGATTACTGATATTTTCATTTTCAGCCTATCTCATTGAAAATGCTACTAAATCAAAACTACAATTTCCATTACATTTAGCTTCTCAAAGACAGTTTCAGCATACAGAATGGGTGGCGTTTTTTCTCCTAAAAATGTATAATCAATAGCATATTACATCTTGTATTACTGTCAATGTTCAGTTTTTCCATGAAGATATATAATAATTTCAGTGAAAGTGACTAATAACAAAATTGCAGTCTGGATAATTTCCAAGGGCTTTGTAGAGCTTGCTTTATAATGTTTGTGATTCATGAAATAAACAAATGTAATAAACAAAAACTGCTCTATTATACTCTAAATTGAAAGTATTTTAAAAAATGGTATGATGCCACTTTCTTTGAAAGATGCTCTTAGAAATCTGTGCCATTACCATGGCAGTAAGAGAACAACTTTTCCAAAACGACAAAGAAAGATTTAAATATTTGGCTTCCTACTCTTTTAAGTGTGCAAAATCTTTTTTTTTTTTTTCGGTAAAGAAATACTTGAAATTTAAAAGGGGCATATGGCTAGTTTGATTTTTACCAAACTTCCAAAGAGATGTTGTAAATCGAACATCCTTCTGTTAATCCAGGAATTAAAAATGAAACCAAGCGGCTTGATAAATAAATTTTTCTTTAGTATTATTATTTAGAAAATAGAGCTAGCGATGTTACTTTCTGAACTTTGGTCATTTTTAAAATAAAAAGCTTATTTTTTTAAAAACTATTTGAGACAAAAATGAAACTTCACATATATCTTTTTTTGTGTGAAGAATACTACATACAGCTTGGTTTTAAACAAAACCACTACTGGTCTTCATAGAAAGAACAGAGAAAGCATGAACATTGTTACCCTTAAGGGGAAAATAAGCTCAAGAATGGAAATGTTTTTCAACTTCACGATGGATTATGTTTTTAATAGTTTTGCCACAACAAAGCATTTTATTGAAATCACTGCTCTGTGCCAGATCAGAGCACATAGACTATTATTTTAATGAGCTTTAACAAGAACCCACATTCCCAGTTGAGAATCAGATTTTTTGAGATTCTTGGTGGAGTGGTCAGGAGTGAGGGTGGCTTACTTGTTTTTCAAAAGCAGTTGGCACCAGTCGTCTCAGCTCAGATAAACTGTTATTTATCCGATCTCGACGCCTTTTCTCTATTATCTATCCCCAAAAAAGCAAAACAACAGAACTTTATGAATACACAAATGAAAGCAAAACAAAAGTTTATGAATACACAAATGATAAAATTATTCATAATGGAAAAACACAACTGTTACACATTAGGTTGGATTACATGAAATAAAAAGAAAAATCACATACCCCTCTTCTTTTCTTTCTTGCCATAATCTGAGATGTTGTTGTTGGAGAATTCGATCTAATCACAGAGCTAGTACTTTGCCTATGAAATAGGAAGAGTATGTCAGGTGCTGTATTACCATAACAATTGCTTCTTCTGGGTACTCCGTGGCATCCATTAAATATTCAGAGTAATTGCACAGTTCAGGTTTGTGTTATTTTATTCTTAATTCTTACTTTACTCTTAACATACTTTGCTTTCAGCCCTTATATCTCTTTGCAGGTAGGAATCATGCCTTTTTAAAAATTTTAATGAGTAATCCAGATGCCAAATCCATTGGCAAAAACATCCTGCAACTTTTATTACGTCTCTCAGTGAAATAGTTATGGGCAGGCAGGGTGAGAAACTCATAAATGTTTTTTCAAAAGTCAACTAATCTCTAATAGCATCCTCCTCCTCAATCCAGTCAGACACACTGAACAAAGCAAAGCTATTTTAAAATAAAGGCCATGTTTAACACCGCTACCAAACACACAGTCATCACATGTCAAACTGTTGTCCCTAGAATAAACGGCAGTTATCTTACTATTAATATTTCAAAACTTAAATTAGTCATATCTCGCAACAGGAAAAAAATGACAAGTTTAATGTTTTGTGTACGAATCTTCCAAAAGAATGCCCCCAATTAAATGCCATTGTTACAAAAATTAAAATTAGATCAACTACTAGATAAATGTTTTACTTTGAAAATGAAACTTGTGGGTATCAGTTGTGCCTTCAATCTAAACTTAAACCTCTCGGTTTCCTAATGAAAAGATATTTTACACTGAAAGTTTAATCACATTGTTACTTTGACACAATTTTTATCATGCTTTCTAGTTTGTGTCTGTTACTCTTCATAATTCATTGATTTTATGCTTCTTTATGTTCTCAAATTCTCCAGGTTCCTGTTATTCTCTTTTATTTTAGAATTGTTGCACACACCAGGTTCTTATTACCTCACCTTCTCACTTCTGGATCTTATTTCTGAATTAACTGTCTCCCTCATTCCCACACCTTCTCAACTGGTTTTGCCTTTCACATATCTTCTGTTTTTCAGATCTCATTTTTTAAGATGATACAACAACACTTTAAAATTAGAAGATAATTTGCAAACAACGTTTCATATAAATATGTTTGCTCTTGCTGATTTCAGGCTTTGGTTTGTACACGTTAGAATAACAGCATTGAAAGAAAAAACAGTATTGAAAGTTTTCCAAAAGTAGGAAGAATTCTGCTCTTTGAGTGACAGCTGCAGATAAATAATTAAGGTGCTTCTAAGGATGCCAATTAGAAGCAATTATCATTTGACCCGCCTTGGCACTAAAATGCCTCGGTAATCTCCCTCTGTCACTGGAAAGTGGAGGTCTGGCTTCTGTGATCACGACCTCGATCTTTTCCAGACTTAAGAACCAGCAAAGAGATGATGCCAGAAACGATCGTGACATCTGTCACTCATTCTCTCGTCAGCCAAGTCACACACGTCAACCTGGAAAGCTCAACCTACTTAGCTATGACATCCGCAAACTACTTTAACTTCTCTAAAAAGGAAGTTATCTTTTTTAGTTTCTTTAAAAACAAAAAATCAATTTGTTTTTCTTTTCGCCTGGCCCATTTTGAAAGTGCTCCCAAACACAGCTTCAGTGGCGGGGGCGTCGCCCAGCGCCGGGACGCGCCTGTCAGTGCCCCCCGTGCTGGCAACCGGGCATCCCCCCTGGCCAACTCCTGTCCTCTTTTCAGTCGCGTCCCGGGTGTTCTGCGCCCCACCCCTACAGTGAAAACCGACATCCCTCGCCCCACCCAGTGCACGCTCCGTGAGCGCCCACCACTCCAAGTTTCTCGGGCAAAACTTTCCCCGCTCCGTTAGGACGCCGCGGAGAGGAGCCTCGGGGTTTCCAAGGCGCTGCTCGTGCACAAAGCTCCCCGACGCCTCGGGCTCCGGGCAGCTCCCGCCAAGCCCGAGCTCACCCCGAGTAATTGTTCTCGCTCCCCACGTCGATGGTCTCGTCCATGTCGCTCTCGGAGGTGGTTTCCTCGCAAGGGCGCTTCATCTCGGCAAACACGAGGCGGGGCGCAGCCCGGCCGGAGCCACGGACGCCGAGCCGGGCGCAGCGCCCTCCCTGCCTGCCTCCTCCCTCCCTCCCTCCCTGGGCCCGGGCAGGAGCGACTCCCGCGGCGGCGCGGTCGGCTCCTCGCGGCTCTTTCCCACGCCACAGCCCAGCTCCGCCGCAAGAGCCGGCGCCGGCCACGCCTCCCCGCGCGGGCGGGGCTCCCTCGCCCGCCTCCCGCGCGCAGAGCCTCACCGCTCCGGAGGGCACCGCCTCCTCGGGGCCAGCGTGGCCCGCGATTGGCTGGGGCGGAGGGGCGGGCCCGCTCGCGCGCTAACCTGCCGCGAGGCTGGGGCTGAGGCGTGGGAACGCGGGCTCACACCTGGGGCCGTGGCGCTGCGCGCGGGCAGGGAGAGACTGCGGTGAGCGGGAGCGCCCGGCTGCTGTCTCTAACCAGGGAAGCGCGCAGACGCGGGCGAGGGCGGGCCGGTGCGGGGCGGGCCCTTGGATCTCGGGCTTTGGCCCGCCTCCCCGCCCCGCCGTCTGCCGGTAAAGTTTCAGTCCCCGGTTTAAAGAATAACCCCAAGCGCGTGGCTGAATGTGAGCGAGCGTGTGTGACGTCGGGAGGCGCCGTGGCGAAACAGAGCCTCCCCGCTCGGCTGTCCCTTGTCTGGACCCAAACTGCTGACTGGCTGACCCTGGCGGTCACTTTTGCCCTCGGGGGTTGTTTTGAAACCCTTAAATCAAAGTTCCTTCTCTCCCGAGCCACTCCCGCAGCCTCTGGGCTGTGACCAGATAAGGACGTGAGTTTCTCCGGCCAGGTACCCAACCGCTGGCGGTCGGAGGGTCTGCGAGGTCGGCCCCCACGTGGTTTTCGATTGGCTCTAAATCAGTTATTTCCGTTTGACCAATGGGGTTTGGATAGTCGATCCTGCTGAGCAGACCGTGGGCTGGAGTTGTGTCCACTCTGGTGGCAGGAAGGACTAGAGCAACAATGCGGGTTTCCCAAAACACAATTTTAGTCGTTGTTCAAGTTCGAGTTTTTGGGTGTGTACAGCCGCTGCGGTCGATTTAATTAGAATCCCGGACGTGAAAAAACATCGCTTTTGGAAACTGAATTTGTTTTCTAAAGTTCGAATGCATGTCCAGTTTTGAGTGCATTGGACGACGTGGGTTGTAAACATTCTAGATGTGCTTTCAAAAAAATATTTCCAAGCATCTCTCTCCGTGCTCTGCGGCATTTTTGAACCGGCTACGCCGATGTGCCTCGGGGACGGCCGCAGGGGTCGGGTGGCCCGCCCGGGCGCCGCGGGACTGGGAGGCCGGCGGCGGGGTGGTCGGGGTACAGCCGGACACTCCCCTCATTGCGCGGGGACACCTCCGAGCTTATGATAGGAGAAAAGCCTCTAAGAAAGAGGTGTCTCTCAATATCCACCACCCTTCTCCACGAACCGATTCGTATATTTCTGGGGATCGGTTCAGGGCGTTTCTTTGACACTCCTTTTTCTCACCACGCAAGACCCGCGCGGGGCGGAGAGGAGGAGAGGAAAGGATGCGACGTGAGAGACGGGGCCCTGGCGGGGGCTGGGCAGGGGGAGAGCGGGAACGGCTTGCAGCCCGCGTGTTAAGCCTCATTAAAACACAGAACTCCTTCACCCACACTCCCTCGTCTCTTTTGTACGGTCACCACCGCGCCGCCTGCAATAGCCGTGTGAACAGAAACCCGAAACGTTCCTTTCTGACTTGTGAAATTTAACCCCGGCAAACACAGTCGGCGGGGGTCGGGCGGGGGTCGGGCGGGGCCTGGCGGGGCTGGACCCGGTCAGCTCAGGACGGCGCGGCCGCGGGGGGCTGTGACCCCCCCAGCTCGGCTGTGGGCCTCACGGCGGGTCCCGGTGCGTCTGCTCGGCTGCAGCACCAGCATCCAGAGCCTGCTGCGGTGATTTGAGCCGGCCCGCATCCACGGGCTCCCGTCCGCGCAGCTCAGCGAGTGATGAGCCGCAGGCTTGCGGATCGGCTCCGCATCTCGTCGGAGAATGCTTCAATGGCCCGTAGGCACAGACTACAGAGGAACGCGCCAGTACGCGCCTGGCGCGAACTCGACCTGCACAACTTTCAGCGAGGGCTGCACGTTTTTCTAAAACCGAATGCCTGCAGGTGCAATTCACGTTTGCTACGCCAGCAAATTAGCGGGCGCTTTCAAACGCTGGGGGCAAAACCTGAGATCATCGTTGAAAGAAAAGAAAAAAAAAAGACAGTTCTTTCTCACTATACTGGTGTATTTGATTACAATAATTGCGAAAAATTGCAAAGAGGGAAATGGTTTGTTTGCAATAAAGTAGCAACTGGATAAAGTTTTCCCGTATTTTTCTTTGAAGACAACCTCAGTACCGTGTTATAAAAAAAATAAAGCGGAAACGTTCGAGAAGCACACAGATTTAATGTCGCTTAAAAATATTTTCAAGCAAAGAGGGTCATATTCTACAAGTCTTTAGAACAGTACGTGGTACATGGTAAGTGGTATATAAGTCTGTTAAATAAACAAGAACGCATAGGGCAAAAGACCTCGAAGGTTTGAACACCATGATAAGATTAATATGCTCAGTTATCTGCAAAATATTTAATTGCAATTAGGCAGCACGAAATTTATAAATTAGGTCTTTTATACCCCCTCAAGTACTCCATTTGCCTATCTTGGGTAGGAATACTTGGGTAGGAACCGTATTTCCCACTAAAAGTACCTCTCGAGTAGGAGTGAAAAACAGGGAGGAAACTCTTTAAAACGCCTCAGCGTACTTAAAAACGGCCGAGGATTGTCAGGGGGCTTGGGTAGGAGTGGTGCAGGCGGAGAGAAAGAATAGACAAAATGAGAGAACCGCGGGATTTCAAACCTCATCAGCCCTCAGCGACATTCTTTTCAGTCAAAGTTGGTTGAAGGCTTCCTAGGAGGCCAGGCAGAAGAAAAGATGCCAGCGCGCAGAGCAAACCGCAGTTCTTTCCTTTTTCAAAGATTTGTACAATGAGATAATTAGACCGAAAGATACAAGGGACTTTCCTAGAAACGAAATGTCATTAGGAAAGAAAGCACAGGACCAGGGATCTAAAGGGATTGGAGGAGGGGAGAATTCAGCGTCTTCCTGAAATTGGTCATCCCGCCCTCTTTTTGTGGGTATGTGATTTAATCCACTTAAAGGCGTGAGAGTGAGATGTGGAGTGCCGAGGTCTGGAAACATCAGACTCAGTGGTCCTGATCTTCCTCCTCAACTTTCCCCCATCCCTTTAATATAAAGTTACAGTTTTTGCACACGTATTTGTAAGTATGGCGATCTTGATCTAGTCTTGTCCTACAAAATTTGAGCTTTGTTGCACAAATTAATGAAGTGATTATTTTGCTGCAATTCTGAAATTCCCCTTGCAGCATTTTGGGAACGAATCAGCATCTTTTTAAATTCTTCTTGGTCTGCTTTTTTCTTTATTAGAGCTCTCTGATTTTTCCAGATCAGTTGTCACTTTATTTGTGGCTTCTCTGAATCCTTTGAGGTGCTGCTTATAATTACTTAAAAATTATTGTCCACTCTAGAGTTGGGTTCTCATAGAAAGTCACTAAGGCATGATGACACTTTAAAAAATGTTTTTACTTCGTTTCTCAGTGAAATACAAGCAGCTCTGTTATATAAAGAACTTTATGTTACCTCGAGAAGCTTAACAGCACGTAGTTCAAACTGAATCCAAGGTTTTGCCCTATCTGAAATAGTACAATTGTTTAGTTTCTCTTGCAAAGGGCAGACAAGCAGGTTATCCTGAGAAGCTGTCGTCTATTTGTAAGTGCTGGGGCAGGTGACATGCACTTGCATCCCTAACTACTAGGTTATTGTGAACCAGCAACCCTTTAAAGAGTGTATGAGAATACTGCACCCTGAGAGTGGAGGCCAGAGGCAAAATCCTTGTATATTTCAGTAACTTTCTCAGCATCAGCTTGGCAGCAAGCAGGCCAACCTAGGGTCACTGTGGGACACATTTGTAAGCCAGTAAAGCAAAACAAAGTGGAAAGCAAGGGCAAGTTTAGGCCCACCAACCTTGAAGTCATCTATAAAAGGGAACGGCTTTACCAGTTAACAATTATTCTTGCCTGGTCAGCCCCCCAAAGCGCATGGCGTCTCTTGGCTTGCTCAGATAAGGTGCTGCTTATTTGTTATATCAGAAGCTCCAAGTTAGGAAATCTAAGACCCAAAGCCCCCTTTCTTGGAAGTTCAAATGTTTAAATTGACTTCTGTTAGTAAAGGGCAATTTATTTAAAAGCTTTTATTTCATGGGTGGAGTTATTAGTGTTTAGCACATGCCCAAGGATGAAGGCTGGTTTTATTGCAGGAACCTAGAGAAGAGGATTGTATAATTAAATAACCAATTTTCCATACCACTGTAAGCAACAGTCAAAAGATAACTACACTCACTCTATGAACTTCTGCTTTGTGAGGGTTAAATCAATGTTGGAAGGCTTTTCTTTTGAAGAAATTATTTTTAAATTTCCATTTTCTCAAAGTTGGTTTGATTGACAGATTCTCCCCCCTGCCCCTTAAGGAGGCAGTTAGATACATTCGCTTCTCTTATGAAAATCATCTTTCAAAACTAACTACATCCCATCTTCTAGAATAGAATGACACCGTGGATGAACAATAAATAGTTTGGAATGAAC